ATTAGAGTTTAGCATTGATTCAATTTTGTGTGACTATCATTTATGTAGGACAGTGGGTTAGGAAGGGAGGAAGCTGTCATTATCAATTCCCGATTTTGTTTGTGGCTTGTACTACATGTTTATAACAAATATCAGGTGCTTATGGATCAAGGGCGCTGCTGACAAATTTTGAAGGACAAGAAAAATTTAGAGTAACAATAAAAGTTCTCATTATACATGTAGTATCATTCAAACAGTGATTTGGTACATATATTAATGATCATCATACATATCAATGCTGCCATCAATGCTGTGCGCATTACATATATGTAAATGCTTGCCAGCTGATGTTGCGCATAATGCTGCCATCAATGCTGTGCGCATTATTAAGTTAATGCTTGCCGGCTGATGTTGCGCATTTGAATGATGCTGCCATCAATGCTGTGCGCATATTAAATGCTTGCCAGCTGATGTTGCGCATCTTTTGTTGATGATTGTTGTAAATATGTGCATGTTCACATTAACAAAAAATATTGTTTGCACATTGGAAATTCTTCATGTGCACAATGTTATTTTATATTAAGCAGGTCATGAAAGTATCTTAAATGAGGATATCATTAGTAAGCAATATTATGTCTAAAATACATGCCATGTATGATCCAATCAGAAACATTGTAGATGCTACCATTATCATTATTAGTTAGTATGTCACATACATACTTTTTATAGGTACTTATGTACTTGGCACAAGGACTACAATGTGGTGTTAAAGAATGAGGTTTGATGTGATTGGTAAGTGCTATTGTTATTATTAGCCTGTGAGTTTACATTGCTTGCTTTTGATATGTTTCTATTACTATGCTTTACAGGTAATTACAGCTGGAAATGATTTGCTGATTCAGCAATACTTTTGCTTGATATTGGAATGTGAAATATATTTAAAGGCAATTCTGGATTTAGATTGTTGAAACTAAATTAATTTCTTTCTTAATGTTTTGTTGCAGCTCCTTGATCAGTAGTTGTATCATGCAGTAGTAGGTGCCAGTTTACATATGTATAGGTTTCATATTATTGTAGTCTTAGCAATGGAATATGTAGTAAGACAAAGAGTATTGTGAAATGTCTTATGTATTTTTGTTATAGGTTATAATTCTAGGTTACATACTGTAGATTAGCTTGATGATTATATCATTAATAATGGCCACAGTAAGTACTTTCTTTAGTCAATATAAATGAATGCTTGCCAATGCATCTTTTGTTGTGTGCCATTAACAATACAAAAATAATTGTTTGCACATTGGAATGTATTCATGTGGTCTATTAATGTGTATTTCCACAATACAGGTCTCGTGAACTGCGGAAAAGTTTGAGAGCTGTGAGCAGGAAAGTGGCAACTGAAGCTGAATGTAAACTTAAATAGTTTCAGAACCGGACATAGATCTTAGTAATGACAACTGATGATTAATAATTTTGAGTTAGGCTATGAATATAATTAATGATTCAAAAAATTCAAAAACTGTTTTTATAATGCGGTAGGTCTTCTTATGGTTCTTATTTCAAAATTCTTTTCTTCTATTAATGAACTGATACCTAAGGCAAAAATTATAATTATCAATAAAAAGGATTATTAATTAATAAAATTTAATAAAAAGTATGGAAACAAGTAAATAAAAAAATTTCTATAAATAAGAAAAAGTAGGGTTGTCAAAAATAAAAGAAACAAGGGGGTTGAGTACAACCATAATAATAATTAATAGTTCAATTAATAATAATAAACTTTAATTAATAAAAAATAATTTATTCATGAAAATAATACATAAATTTCAAACCCTACTTTGCAGAAAATGATAACAGGCAGACTACAATGTAAATAGAATTTTAATAATAATTATGCCTCTGTACCTATTGATTGCTCTACTACAATACTATTATGTAAATTAATTATTGTGATAAATATAAATAAGACTTTTCAGCTAGTATTGATTGAATAACGTGTCATTGCAATAAAAAAAATCTAAATTATGGATAGGCTAAAGCATTCTTTGAATTTTGGGATTCAGTACAATATTGAAAATTAAAAATATTAATATATATACTTGTTAAAAATTGTAATTGCGGGACTTGCCACGTTATCATTTTCTGCAAAGTAGGGTTTGAAATTTTTGTATTATTTTCATGAATAAATTATTTTTTTATTAATTAAAGTTTATTATTATTAATTGAACTATTAATTATTATTATGGTTGTACTCAACCCCCTTGTTTCTTTTATTTTTGACAACCCTACTTTTTCTTATTTATAGAAATTTTTTTATTTACTTGTTTAATATAGAAATCAAACAAGGAAATCATGTCTTACTTAAAATGATGCTAGCAAAATATTTCATTAAAAAAAATTGTTTTATTATTATTAGCACAAATGAATACTAAATTTCTTATTCATTGTAATGAATATTAATTTGGTCCTGTGGTTTAGTCATTTTTGAGTCAAATAAAATCAATTCCAATACTGACAGTCTGACATGCCTATGATAACTTCAAACTTGGAATTGAGAAGGATACTTATTAGAAGGTTGGTTAGATTGATGATTATTCTAACCATGCTATTTCTGCTGTGGTTTAAGAGACACTGCATATGCCTGTGCATATGTTGTATGCAACTATAATGTCCTCCACCACCTCCTCCTCCTCCTCCCCCTTCTCATGCAACTGCTGTGAGAGCACTACCAGTATCTGCCTGATGGTTGAGAATCTCAACCATCAGGCAGATACTGGTAGTGGTCACTTGAGAACTTGTCATTTAACAATCATATTTATTGATCAACTGAAAAGTGAGTTGCATTGAATATCAATTTGTTTATTTGTATGTTTCGTGTTTAGATATAATCCTTAAAAATAAATGTATATACATAATCTATAACCATGACTGATTATTTGTGACCATAATTGACAAAAGGGTACCTTATGGCGGGTAGTGAAATTTGTCTTTCTAGCCTAAGAAAT